GGGGGGAAGGGGATATATGACTTTTAAACTTTTAAAACGCTTTGCTAATTTAGACCATATGTTTGGTTTCAAAAAAAAAACGGTTCTTATTGTGCTTAAATCACTTTCAGATTTAATAATTGTTTCTACCCAACTTTTGCTAATTTACAAAGCCGCCGTATTTAATGCAATTATGCGTCTTCTAATAGTTAAAGTGTTTTGGCTGTGGGTAGATTTTGACCGAGAACTTATGGCATCTGGAATGTTCGTGTCTTCTCCTTTATATTTTCTATATTCGGTTAATAAATGTTTAACTGATATAGGAATCGTACCAATGGTTTAACATAAGGGAGGTGCTACTCACGGGTTTTCATTAGGTGTTTTAATGACATTTAAGTATGCTCTAGTCTCTATTTTGTAGTCTTATTATCAACAGCCGTTAAAAAATTAGTGTGAAAATGGCATTGATTTTGTTTATTCGTGAACGCATTACTATGCATCAATAGAAACCGCATTTTTCCGTTTAAAAATTAAATAACCTCTGATATTTTTTTTATATATATATATATATATATATATATATATCACTAGTGGCTGCAAAACATTAAAGTGCAGATGAAAACTGCACGGTGACATAATATGAACTGTATGAAATTTTGAAAATAGCATAGGTACGTTGTCGGTATAATGGTTTTCCCAGGGGAGAAAAAAGTTATGAATTTTTTAGGTCGATCAGTGCATTTTTTCACGTGTGACACCATTAACTATTGAACCGTTCGTTTTAAAAATATTTTTTTCAAACATAATTTTACCGAAAGACATTGTGAAACACACAGCGCCAGACAGTTCCTTGGAATTCTATAGGTGGTATTAATAAGAAACCGAGCCGAGAGGTGGTTTCTCGGGTATCACACGAATATTTCCAGCCAAGTCAAGGGGAAAACCTTCGGATCAATTGTACCCAGATGAAAACAGTAGACTTTGACATGGAAAAAATATGCTTTGATCTCACTCGGAGCGGTGTAGACTCGCTCGTTGATTTAATAAAATATAAACTGCGATGGTTGTGTTTCTTTGACGTTCATCACAACTCGGCCTGTCATGTTATGCGACTTTCGAAAATGAATTTGTCCCGTTTTTACTGTGAGAAACTGTTTCTCAAACAAAGTCAACGGTTCGGTCGGTCGGTTTTGGAAGTAATGTACAGAATAGGGTTGCCGGCTCCTTGGGAAAATATTCCTGAAACCTGGAGACAAATTCAAAACTTGACAGGGGAGTGAGACACCAATGTTGGACGTACCTAAAACGTGACTCCATAGTTTACTGTTCAATAAGCCTCTTTGCTAGTTTGCATACTGACTAATCGGGGTAAAGTATTTATTTATACGGTTCATTATAGTTATTAACTTAAAGTATTAAAATAAGCAGCATACGATGAGAGTAGATTCAAGAGTATCCTCTGCACTGTATACAGTCAGGTCATACGCTAAACTTATGTTAAGAGGCTTAATTGTAATTGCATACGAATTTAATACTGTCTGTATTAGCGTACGGTTCGATAACCTTTTAAACATCAAATAAAAAGCTAATAACAAAATACAAAGCTATTTGTTTTACTGCTACAGTTTTCCTACTATAACAAGTGCTACATTTACTAGGCCGGAAGTAGGAAAACAAATTTCGACTTCCGGCCGAGTAAACTGAATTTACATTTTTCCATGTCTGGTTTAAAATATGCAGACAGATTTGTATTTGTTGGCAACGATGAATAATACATATATATATATTACATCATGGTATTTACTTTGTTACTATATTATATTATCACGTATTTTAAGGCTTATGTTGAAACACTTATTTTTTTTTCTTCTTAACGACCATTTCCACCGAGTTAACGAAGTGTTTTTGTTGGGTATAATACACAAAAGAGTGTTACATAAATGTTATGTAACATTATACAGTAAAATGTTTATTTATTTTAATTTCCATTCTATTCACTGCATGTTTTTTAAATGTTCTTAACTTGAGTAACTGCTCAGGTAATTAGCTACCAATAAATTGTACTGATAATTGTAATAACCGTCTTTATCAGGCCCATTTCGTAAGAGCTATTTGTCAATAGGTGAGGTGTCCTCTTAGGCGGATTTTATTTCTTCCAGTGGTTTTAAATTGGCATTTCCAATCGAGAAAAACCCTTGTAGTGGGGTGTCGTAGTCATCATCTTGATATTATTATTATTATTATGTTCAATAGCCAATATAGAATACTGTAAGTGCGTTTACAACCGAAAGACTCTCCGTCGATACATACCTATCCACTTTAGAGTGCCATTATTAATATATGTATCTAAATCGCGGTCGCTTGGCCGGCAAACAGTGTTGTTTTAGGTCGCTCAACTGTCGTTAAAACGAAGCCATTGAAAAATAGCTTACAATTTGTTTTTTTCTCTCTCATAGTTCGATTTACGACCGTGTGTATTATATGGCCATGGAGTTATATATGCCCCATCGTACGTCACCGGCAGAAAATCACACAGATCCCTGTGGTTATAGTGCTGGGACATTGTTATTATAGTCCGGCCAGTAGATTTATATTGCTGTATTCAGACGCAATGCGGACCCCCGCTAGAGTACATACAGGCAGATTGGTTAACAGCTATGACCCAGTCAATATTATCGTAAAAGATATTAGACATTTTTAAAATGATTTTTTTTTTCATACTTATATAGTTGGCCCAAATTGTATATATTTTTAAATGGTAACTTATACGTTTAATGATCTTTTTAAATTAGAAATAATATGTGGGCAATTTTGATTGGTCCATAACCGGCGTTGGATCAATTAGTATTACAAGTAACTTTAAAAGTAATTATCCAAAACTGGTTATCAAACTGATTTTAAGTTTCAAAAGTCGATTGAACTCTGAAAAATACTAAAAAACGGTATAAATATTTAGTGATTTTAATAATATTGTAAAATAACATTATAAGAAAAACATTTTTTCAAAAAAAAAATACTAGAAAAAGATTTACAGTTTTCTCAAAAGCTAAAAAAATACACGATTACCGAAGTAGATACATTTCCAGGTAGCTACGTGTGAACGAATCGACATTCAACAGGTATCTGAAAAGTATTTTCATTGTGTTGTTGATTTCGATATAGACAGGTGATCAACCCTAATCAAATGCAACCTATTAAAGAAAAAAAACGGTTTTTTTATGATGTTAAGTGATTTTTATGCGGTATTATGCAATCGTCTAGTCTAGTAAACGTTCAGTGGATTATTCTGAACTCGATAATTAAACGGGAAAAAAAAACACCTTTGTCCAGTTTAGCCTCGGTGCGGAGTTGACTTTTTTTTTGTGTGTCTAGATTTCTTCAAGCAGCAAGTCTGTCGATCGGAAATCGCAACTTAATAGTACTTTATTGAGCCAAAAATGTATTTTTTTTTAGTGATTTTTAACCATTTTAGTTATGGCAACTCCCAAGTACTTGAGTCCTATCCGTCGCGAGATGGCCCCGACCTAACGGCTGGATTTTCTCGATAAAATAAAACAAAATTTGATAAACAATTTCCAGTTGTAACCAATTTTCTGGCGTGTACGGTTTTCACTCGTTTCGGGTTAGACGTGGTGTTGTACATCGAAACGAATAGATGCGCATTTTTCTGGTCGGGAGACCGCGGGCGCCGCAGCGATAACAATATCACGGTGACTCGGACGGGCAAACGTAGGGTAGGTAAGACAGAAAGGGAAGAAAGGGGAAGAACAGATTTATTTCCCCGAGGAAATCGCGGCCCTGGGAAGCGTATGAGCGCACCAGAGTAAAACGAAACGGGATGGAAATCGAATTGGACCAGCGGACGAAAACCAACAACGGCCTCGTGCAAGACGGTCTGGATGACGATAACATCAGCGGTTATGATTTACAGTTAACCGTCACCGAGGACCTAATAAGAAAATATTATAACGGCTCCGGGGATGAAATATAAAGTAATATCGTCTCGGGACGCGTATCTCACCTGCTGCATCTTTATGGTCGCACTTTAAAGTCGTTTGTCTAGACTCAAATGCGTATAGATGGGTTGGATGTGTGCTCAATGTGTGTACTGGTGTACTTACATAATATATGCACATGTTATTAAAGTGTACGTTACACATACACGAGAGATACTCGATTTGGTTTTATTGTATACAACCGACATTTGTACAATAACAATATGATATAGACTACATACAACCGTAGCTATTTACTTTGCCAAACGACCAGCCGAGTTGTGTACGTTATTGACATGATAACGTTCAGCTTAGACTGGTAGAAAATTCGTGACATTTTTGCGTCACTACTGTTTGTCAACAATAGTTGAAACTGTAGCTTGCCTACACTATTAAGTATGTTAGGCATGCCATTTTTTTTTAAACCCCTATCAGAAAATGGTATTTTTTGTCGCTCATTTTAATAGTAATTAAATTTATTTCTATTGAGACAGAAATGCTCGTTTTGCAAATCTTCTGATCCAGGGCTCTTTTAATGGACCAAATGTTAATCGAGACCTACTCGCGTTTAACGTTAATGGACATTTTTGGTTGTGTTGTATTAATCGAAAGTGACACGTACAAACCCTGCGCTTAATATATGTATACTGTGACATTTGGCACTGTGGCGATATTAAAGCGGGTTTAGTCAAATTAAGTGTTGAATAATTTCATAAAGGTTATAACGCGCTAAGCATCGCAGAGTATATGGCTAAGCCTAGAGTAATCCGGGTCTCGAAAGTTACCTATATTATTTTATTAGGCAAATGCTTGTCAAACATTTTTGAAAATTGTTCAGCCCTTTTATTGTCGCTTACCCAAAGCCCGGGTTTTATGTGCTTAAGTAGGTTTCATTCATGAGCTGACAGCGCATTATCTATGACGGTCAATTGCCGGGACTTGTTGAATAACATACAACATGTAAACCTAACGCAGTATATGTCATGTTTTAATATTATTAACGTGCATATATTATTATGTTCACAGATAACGCAACAACTGTTCACTGTGAACTGTACATCCGGAGTTTTGGGTCCATTAGTCCGGTTACCATGGTGAGTAATGTTACAAGTTATAATCATTTATTATGTAGGCAAGTTTCCACGGTGTACTCATATGTAAACAGGGAAGACTAAAAATCACCTTGATGATTTAAAAACCATAAAAAAATATTAGTAAATATTAACGTACGAATGGCCATGTATGTGTGACCTGTGCAGGTTGATCGTTTCAACCTAATCCATTTGTTATCGACCAATGAACATTTCTAGCAAACCGTTCTTAATTGAATCTAAGCATATATCGAATATGATATAATTCTTTCAGCTGGTTTACTCGATTGTTTCGACATAAAAACTGTTCGCCTGAATATTTTATACGTTAAATTTAAACAAGGCAAAGGTTTAATGCTAATTTTATTGTACTGCTCTCGTGTGTTCAAACGGATGTAAAATTCGTCTGAAGCTTCGAATTTTATGTTGCTGTTCAATAGTTTAAATTATTTCTGGCTGAATAGTTTTAATAACGTTGCTTTCACTAAGCGTTCCGTCAATGGTCTTATTATAAACGGTTTTTGATTTCAATGGTCCACAATTATTATCATCATCGTCATGAATGGAAATTCAAACAGTGATATACGCGCAGATAACTAAATTAAACATAACTGAATTATTTGTGTCGTTTGCTCCGGCCGAGTTCATTCGTTCATTTACAAATAAATAATAATAAATAAATTTCTCTCTGACGTACAAACTAACTTACTTTGAACATTCGCAGAAAGGTATAACTAACGCTGCTGCTATAAAACTACATTAACTACAGTGATATATTTAAGTACAGCAACAAGTCAGTACTGAGTTGAGGCAGTCGCAATGGTTTTTGGATAGGTTGTAATTAATTAACAAAGAGTCAAGACGTTCTCCTAAATACACCGACGACTTCCATCGGAGTCGTTAGTGTATACCGTTTTTTAATGTACAACAATATTAACATCTGAATAAATTACCATTCGTTTGTTCACGACGGAAGTAAATTTCATTTTCTAAGGACTTACCAATAAGCTTTGTTTTTACATGAACTTAATACTTTCAAAACGATCTGCTGTATAAAAAAGGGCCAGAAAAAATATCTCCATAAAATTACAATGATTACTATTCGTTTGTTCAAGGTTTGATATATTCTGTTTATTTTCCCTCGAGGAAGTAGAAAATATTATTTATAAAGATTAATTTTTATAAAACAAAATATTATACGACACAACTAGGAAATAAGAGAAGAAACTTGGAATTTTGTTGTACTTGAAATTTTATTTTAAGTACCTATACTTTATCGTTTTTATTTTTACCAAACTTATTTTAGATAAAATTAAAAAAAGCAACTACATATAATATGACGACTTGGTATTCATGACACATTTTCATAAATAAATGTCATACACACTGCCAGTGCGGGGTATGTACACTCTGTGCGGTAACGCATTACATTACACGTTGTAATGCAATAGGGTCATAAATGAAAATGCTTCAAATATTGATATTGTAGCCATAACTATTTTGTAACAGACCGATAAATACATTTTGACACTTTCGATCGAGAGCAAAAAAAATAAATGACATAACAGAAAAATATAAAATTTACTGATGGGTTCGAACATATGGGCAAAATGTATACAGTGGTCGGGGAGGGTCTTCAGGAATTATTATCATAACTGAATGTGACAAAATCAATGCGAATCTGTAGATGGTATAGGAATACAATTATTGCTAAAAAACAATAATGTGCTTAAAATTGTTTTTTTTAGCATTAGGGCGGAATCAACTAGGGCTAATCGTCCGTCTGTAATAATCTCTGATGCCGTTGTTACCAGATTAATGTAATGTAACAAGTAAATAAAAATATTTTTCTCAGGCACAAATACATTCTTTGTAATAAGATGGCATGCGTTGACGTCCAATTGTAGAGTTATAGACTTTAGCATATTTATTAGGTTTTATAAAATCAACAATACAGACATTAATTTTACTATTAAACGCCATTGTATTATCAAAACAATTATTGATGTGTTAATCGTTAACTATTACATTAATGTACTACAGTATTTATGGATTATAAAATTATCAACTATTACTACAGATTTCTGCAGATGTTAAATGATGCGCTGACAATACAGATTGGTTTATGGAATTAAGTCTTCATAGAATAACTGCATGTTTGGTTACAACAGTCGAACCATGCGCTATACAACTATGGCGAATAGACAGTGTTTTTAGTCTTAAAATTAAAATTCATTGCCAAACTGAACACCTGGGTATATTTGTAAATTATTAAAATACATATTACAGTCGTTAGAAACATATTTATCAGCCTGTAAGACTTTTGTAACACTTAGAGTTTTCTCGCTTGAAATATCAGTTCTTTGGTGTACGCCTATAATAATAATTACCAAAGCCTTAATTAATATAAGTTGGCATTTACCAATCCAACTTGCCAATCGAGCTACAAACATGTAATGACATGTTCATATAAACCGAGTTTTTTTTAATACAATTATTTGTATATTACATCTTATCATGTTAGTTTATTTAAAAAGAAAAACAGATTATTAATATAATACTTCTTAGACAAACGTTGTCAACTATATATTTGTTTGTAATAATAATTAACTGTTTCAGTATCGAACGAAAATATTTGTCGGATACCTGTTGACGTCCATTCTTCCCAAACAGCAACCTAGAAATGGAATATGGTCAAAGTGTAATTTTCCTTTTTTTTTTTTTGAGCTCCAAACTATTAAGGTTTTCCTTAAAAAAAAAAAATAAGTAGTTTGATAACAGATTTCTAAGAAAATTGTTAACGTTATAGCCCCACCACATAAATCCTAAAGGACTGAAGTTCTTTGACCAAACTATAAAAAATATATAAAACACATGTTGTAAAAAGCAAAAATGTTAACAGATTTTTGTGTGAAATCGTAATAAACTTGAGATCAAAAAAATAAAACACCTTGATTCACCTTGAGTGGGTTGGTGTTTGCCAAATGAATACTTGCCATAGCAACAACGCAACGTTGCAGTAAAACAAAAAGTTCGGTTTAACTGAAAACAATTTGGTGTGAAACATTCATCTGTCACAGCTTAGCAGAATTCCCAGACACTTTTCCCTTATATGTATGCTTGTAATAAAACTTACCATATTCTCCTACAAGGTAAAACAATAGTTATTCAATGTATACTGTATCGCAGACGGCGCAATTGTTAAAGTATTAATTGTGTTATTCACATATTTATTTGATATCATATGAAACATTTTAAGAGTATTAAAAAATACTGTGACAATTATTATTTAACATTATCCACGAAAATTGATTGAATTCAAAAATATTTAAACATTTTTTATACCTATTCATATTGAAATGATATGTTTTTATTGACAGGCTAAATAATGTGACAAGCTAGTCGACTAATTTTCAGGTAAATTTAGCGCACAAACCTTAACTTGTGTATAACTTATCAAATGTATATTATACAATTTATAGCAATTTTCAGCTGCTATGTGAACTTTTCAAAAGCCGGTCTTCGCGTGTAAAATAATAAAACCTCAACTTAATCGATGCTTTCTCCGTTTAATTGTGCGGAATTTCTAGTTAAGTAACCACGTGGAATTCGCGGTACCAAATGAAATTAATTTGACCCCCGACGATTCTTCACACTAAACTTCGGCAATCACCCTCAGGGCTGGTATTATAATTAGTTGCAGGACTCGACAATAATTTGCATTCAGACCAAGCTCGCCCATTCGCATCACTGTAATAATATACAATATAGGGTCTGTTGTGCATGCCAAGTCCAGTAATATTGCCGAATTATTATAGAAATCAAATAACCAAGACGAATTAGATCTGGAATAATTGTATGAGTTGTCCGGTAGTGCGATTGCACTGTCATAGGAATGGCCTAAAACTAACCAAACGATTGTAGAAACGTTTTAGAGCGAAAATATTATCGAGGTGATATGACAAAGTTGTGAGTAGATAAGATAAAAAGTGCATCAATGGTTGAGCAATATGATAAACACTTCTAAAAATTTATAATTAAAAAGTCTTAATGAAAATGCAATCTAAATGACTTTGTTAAATTATTTTCGCCGTTATTATTTTTTCATCATTATAATAATAATTAAAATTTTAAATACTTTACCGTCAGTATGAAACTAATGAGATATTGTCGCAGAGTTATTGTTTCTTTTTTTATGGCAGTCACGGAGACTCTAAATGATTAATGTCCAAAATGATAAAACGAAAAATACTTACAATGGAATGGCACGAAACGCAAATTCTAAGACTGTCAGCCAATCCTACGTTTCATTTTATTTTTATATTTTGTCTTAGAATAGAAAAGCAAGTATCAACTGGAAAAATGGCTTTTGTAATTATGTAATTAGCACTTAAATTTAAATCCAAAAAAAATGTGATTTTATACATTTATTTTTATCACAAACTAAAGCTTTATTTTTGATTTATAACGATTGCACCATAGTGCAATAATTATTATCGAAAATTTCCCCACAAACCCAAAGTTATATACCCCTCCCCGTTGGAGAGAGAGAATTTTTTGGTTTATATAATTAATAACATAAAAAACGTGTCGACAAAATTTGTTTTAATTATGTACGAGTATAAACCAAAAAAGTGGCACAAAAACGATTGTAAAATTAACATATTTAAATTATCAACTTAATTATTTTTAATTTACATCCTTTCTATTTATTTTCAGAGCTCTAGTATCTTTTTCAAATTTTAATGATAACGTTGGTATATATATATTTAGTTGACTTGTTTAATTTAAGAATAATTTGCTGAACAAACTGGTCGATAACTAGTTTTGGATAATTACTTTTAAAGTTATTTAGGTTTGAAATTTAGTACAGGCGTTGGTTTGAGAGTGCGTTTTAATAACTCTAAATTTTTAATTTTAATAACTTTAAAAGTAATTATTATCAAAAACTAGCTATCGACCAGTGAAATCGTTCAGCGACTTATTCTTAATTAAAAAAAGGT